ATTTAAAATTTTTAAATATTAGAAATCTATATGTCACTACTAGTATTTATCAATAACTAGGTCTCATCTACTTCCAAATATTCCAATGATTTTTCTCATTTTAAAAGTTTGCTTAAAACTTTTTTGCTTATCTGATTTTTAACGAGTTTGAGTTTTGGTTCTTCTGTATTGCCTTATGACTATGGAAACAAATTTTGTGCCAAGGAGTTTTAGAACAAGTAAAGTTAGATTCTAGCTCCCAGCAGTTTTTGAAATGAGATTGCCTATGACGGATCGTCGTCTAAAAAATAAGCTTTCCTTATTTGCTGACCAGGATCATAGCATGTCAAAGACACCCAAAGAATTCTGGAATTTCTGAGACTCAAGCAAAAATAAGTCAAATATCTCAGTTTAAGCCCAGTGGTAATCACCAAGGCTTACATTTGTGTGAGTGCCTATAAATCGATTGGAGTAGCTAAGTGCGTGTAAGAAACTTTCCAAGAAATAAGATCTAAAATGAGAGTCTGAGCAGAGCAGGGATTATGTATAAAATATACAAACTTAGCAGTAATTTTTCCTGAATTGTGTGGAATTGGTATATTTGTGTCAGAGGCACCAAATGATTTGAGGAATCAACTTTTATATTCTCTTTATTTAAAAAAAAAAAGGTGCAGTGTTTCTATCAATAGAAAAGACATTACAGATGAAAGAAGATAAATGATTTTAAACAATAATAAATAGCAAACACTTCTATAATGTTTGCCATATGCCATATCCTCCAATCTAAGTGATTTTTACACATTAATTCATTAAATCTTCACAACCTATGAGAGAGTTGCTAAAATTATACTCACTTCAGAAATGAGGACCTGAGAGGGAGAGGTTAATAACTTTTCCAAATTCATCCAGGTAAGAGGTGGAGCCAGGTTTGAACACAGACGTATGGCTGCATCATTTGTGCCCTGAACCACTCTGATAGAAAGATAACACATATATATTATGGAAAGTTGGGAAAATGGAGGAAAAAGTCACCCATGACCTCTTAATTCTTATGTAACTATTGCATATTGTATAGTTTCTTGCCACCTTTTCAATATTCATGATTTTGTGTCATGATTATTATGGGACATATTCTGTACTTGGGCTTCATTAATTAACAGACTGTAACCATCCTTTCCGTGTTTTTGTATAATCATTATAATATAATTTATGTCTTCATATTATCCAATCCTGCAGACAGAGTGATTCACTTAACTGCTCTATTATTGGACATTAGGCTGCTCCACTATTTTCCTTTTGTATGTGTTTATAACCCTATCCTCAGCATCTTCATGAACATGGCTTTTACCATGCTTCTAATTATTTCCTTAGGAAACATATCCAGAAGTGGAATTATCGAGTAATCAAGAGTGAGTTTTATAATCCACTTCTTTTCTTTAAAACACCTAAAATACTTCTATTTTTCCCAGGCATTGTGTGGTTACTAGGTTGTGAGTCCTTAAAATTAGTCAAATACTAAATCCATCCCTTGCAATTGCTTCCTGTCAGTTACCTGTCACTCCTACCCCGGGGCTAACAGATTAGAAGCTCTCATTTGTAACCTTATTAAAAATCACTGATCTTTCTTTTTTTAAGCTGGCAACAATGTTATCTAGGTTCTTTATTTGGCACACAAAATTTTATACAGAAGACTACAATTTCTGCCAGCATAACAGAGACCTTTTGTTTTGCCAAAGGAAGATTGAAACTGATGATTTTCACAGTTGCAGTAGATTCTATGGAGATGAAGTAGATTCTATGGAGACGTTTCCTTGCAACAGCAGGATCGAGCAAAGCTGCCATGAAACTGTACCCATTTTAATTATACTGGCTCTACCCTGAAAACTGACAAGTAAAGCTCCAGAGAGCTAAGCATTTCAACTTCTTCTTCTTCTTCTTCTTCTTCTTTTTTTTTTTTAAATGTGCTGAATTACTGAATCAACACAAACTCACATAATAACCTTTTTGTTCTGGGTCCAGTATTTTGTAAAATTATAGAGAAGACAATTTTGGAACTGAAAAAGAACTTAAAAATATTCACCTGTCCAACTCCTTATTTTATAGATGAAGAATATGAGGCCCAGAAAATTGAACATACTTTTTTAGACATCACAGAGAATTAATGGCAAAGTCAGACTGGAACTGAATGTCCTCACTCCTATTTCCTCCGTCTCTACTCTTTGAGATTTGAGAATTGGTACCAATGAATTCCGGGAAGACCTAATTCTACAAAAAGTAGGGCCCTGCAATCATAGGAATCAGGCTCAATCTTATATCAAGAATATATGATATTAAACAAAATTTTCAGTAAATGTAGGTCAATAAACTTGTTGATGTATCTTGATTATCACATGGTGAAGGGCATATGGCCGTGATATTAATTAATTTAGGTCACAGAATTTATGATCACGATGACCCACTGTACAGTGAGATCATTGGTCTTCCTGAAATATGTAACATAGAGCCTATGATGAAACGATTTTTAAGTAATTATTATATTCCCAAGAGAAAAATTCACTAACATTGGTATAGGCTGACTCTCAATTTTTAATTACCACAAGTTAGGCAATATTACACAGGTGAAGAGCTATCTGAATGTCTAGGGAGCCTGCACTGTCACCGTACAACAGTGCTACTGAGAGTAGTCTTTAAACCAGTAACAGCAGCTTCACCTGGGAGCTTGTTAAAAACATAAAATCAGCCTCATCTAGGCCTATCTGCAAATAGGGTCCAGGGATCTGTGTTTTAACAAGCTCTCCAGGTGATTCCTATGCATGTTGAAGTTTAAGAAGCATTGTTCTAATAGCAACATTCTCGACCTTTTTGCACATGGAGATGGCATGGGGAACTTTTAAAAATAGTTATGCCTGAGTCCCATCCCAGATAGCCTTCAGCCTACCCAGCTCCCCTAAGGTTTAGAACAGGGGTATCCAAAGTGAGTGAATACAATACAACCATTAGAATATAGACATAAACATCAGAACTTCTATTTTTATTTCTTTTAAATTTCAATGTTTTAAGATTTATTTTTGCCTGTGCTTATGCTCTTCATAGAATTAATATAGTAACACATGCATAAAATTTATAAATATTATTATAAATACAGAGGATGCCTTGCTTTAATGATCAGACTTCATAACATAAACTTGAGTGTGCATGAAAATCACCTGGGAAGCTTATTAAACTACAGATTCCTGGGGCCTACCTGCCAGAGATAAATTCAATTAGCCTGAGTTTGTGCCCAGGCATCTACACTACAAGACATACCCCAGATGATTCTTACGTAAATGCTCCATAGACCACTGTTTAAGAAACACTCATTCAGAACCAGGTCCTATTTCAGTTACAGCAAAAATAGAGCTGTCTGGGAAGGCAGAACACCCATTCAGGACCTCCAAGGGTGGTAGTACCTCAGGGGGATAATCATGGTCAAAGGCACAAACCTTAGCTATGAAGAACAGTAGCACACTCTGATTAGTTTCCTGCGGCTAACCCTGATTACAAAGACAGCTGTGTAATCAGGAATATCAACGGTTAGCTTTATAACGAGAAATATAACTTTTAGTCAGACTATAGTGGACCTTATTGGTTGCCCATACAGTATGGTACTGCAGAAAACCAATGGAATGTAAAATTATAATAATAAATTTGCTTCTTTAGCCTAGAATCAGAGTAAGGAGAAATAATTATAACGTAAAGTTTTAAGAGTTGTTGCCCTCAAAATATGACACATGGTACACTGCCAAAAGGAGAGGAAGAATTAGACCAAATATAAATCTAAATGATATAAACACACCAATCTAAAGATAAAGATTGTCAAATTGTGCTAACCAAACCAACTGTAGGTTTCCTACAAGAAATACACCTAAAAATATGTTAAGAGTAAAAAGATATAAAAAGAGGTACATGTTAACAGTAATCAGAAGAAAGCTGGAGTGGCTATATTAATACCTGATTATATATTTTGGATATTAACCCCTTATCTAACACATGATTTGCAAATGTTTTCCCCTATTTTATAAGTTGCCTTTTCTTCGGTCATTTTGTTTTGTTCTGTTTTGGTTGATTGGTTTTTTACTCTGCATAGCTTTGTAGTTTGATGTAGTCCCATATGTTGTTGTTTTAAGATTAATAATATTGGTAAATCCTTAGCTAGTCTTATCAAAAAAGAGAGGTGGGTGGGGGGTATGACAAAAATTTAAATGTCTAGAATTGAAGAGGAGACATCACTACAGAAGCTAGTGAAATAAAAAAGATAATAAGGAAATATTATAAACAACTATATACCAATAAATTTGACAACTTAAGCGAAATAAACAAATACCTTGAAAATTACCAACTGCCAAGTCTTTCTCAAGAAGAAATAGACAACTTGAACAGCTCTATAGCTATTGAAGAAAATAATCGTGTACTTAACAAATCTTTCCACAAAGAAAACTCAGGGCTTAGATGGCTTCACTGGGGAACACTACCAACATTTAAGGAAGAAAAAAAATCCCAATTCTACACAAAATGCTCCAGAAAATAGAGGAGAAAACACTTCACAAAACATTTGACAAGGCCATCATTGTCCTACAGCCAAAATAGACAAAGATATGGCAAGAAAGAAAACTATTAATATCTCTCATGAATACAGATACATAAATCCTTAAGATTTTAGCAAACCAAATTCATGCATAATACATCCTGACAAAGAATGACTTATTTCAAGGATACAAGATTGTTTTAGTATACATATTCAAAAATCAAATATTTACCATATAATCAGACTAAAAAAAAAAGGCTCACATGAACATCTCAATAGTTGCAGAAAAGGCACATTTCAAAATTCAATATCCATTGATAATAAAAAACTTCAAACAAACTAGGAACAGAAGAAATTCTCCTCAACTTGATAAAAAGCATTTGTATAAACCTATGGCCAATACCATACCCAAAGGTAAAAAACTGAGTGCTTCTCTAAGATTGAGAATGGGGCAAGGATGTCGACATCATCACTTCTACTAAACATTGTATTAGATGTCCTAGCAAGAGCATTACGTCAAGACAAAGAAATAAAAGGCATACAGATTGGAAAGGAAGACAACACGATTGTCCGAGAGGAAAATTCCAAGTAATTTATGAAAATATCTTAAAGTTTAATATCTGAGTTAGCAAGATCACGGGATACATAGTTAACACAAAGATCTGTTATAGTTCTATTTGTTGGCAACGAACAACTAGAAATTTAAATATCTCATTTACAATAATATCAACAATTTGAAATATTAGGGATACAGCTAACGAAATATGTGTAAGACCTGCACTCCAAAAAATTCCAAAACATTGCTGAGAGAAATTTGAAAACACTAAAATAGGGGCACCTAGGTGGTGCAGTAGGTTAAGTGTCTGACTCTTGGTTTCAGCTCAGGTTGTGATCTCAGGGTCGTGAGACTGAGCACCACGTTGGGCCCTGTGCTCATCACAGAGTCTGCTTGAGGTTCTCTCTCTCCCTCTCCCTCTGTTCCTCCTGCTCATGTGTTCTCTCTCTCTCTCTCTAAAATAAATGAATGATGGGCACTAAAGAGGGTACATGATGTGATGAGCACTTGGTGTTGTATGTTGTATGTATGATGAATTATTGAACTCGACATCTGAAACAAATGATGTACTATATGTTGGCTAATTGAATTTAAATAAAAAATTTTAAAAATAAAATAAATGGGAGAAATAAATCATGCTCATGAATCAGAAGTTTGTATTTTTAAGATGTCAATTCTCCTCCAAATCCATCTGTAGATTCCCTGCAGTCTTTATCTAAATCCCAACAGATTTTAGCAGAAATTATCAAACCGATTCTGGAATTTATATGTAAATTCAAAGGATCAAAAATAGCTAAAATAATATTATAAAGAAGAATAAGATTGGGGACTTACACCACCTGATTATAAAACTTAATATAAACCCAGAGTTAATCAAGAGTGTGATATTGACATAAATACAGATGAACAAATTTAACGTAATAGGGAATCAAGAAGTAGACATAGACACATATATAGTAAATTGATTTCCAAGGTAGAGGTTAGGGTAATTCAGTAGAGAATAATTATATTTCAACAAATGATGTTTGGACCCTGTATTGCTATATGCAATAAAATGAGCCTGTATCTTTATCTCACACCATGCACATATAACTCAAAGCAGATTATAGATGTAAACATAATGGATAAAATTTTAAAACTGCTAAAATAAAATATAGGAAAAATCTGTGTGACCTTGAAGAAGAAACAGATTTATTTGATGAAATATAACAAGTATGAAATATTTTTAAATGATAACTAATATTAAATTAAACATATTTACTCTTCAAGAAACTCCGTTAAGAAGATAAAAAAACCAGAGTAGGAGGAAACATTTGCAAAACCTGTATCTGATAAAGAGCTTGTATTCTGAACACATGCAGAATACTTAACAGTTGATAATAAGAAGATAGACAACCCAATTTTTAAAAGAGCAAAAAATGCAAACAGAAACTCCATCAAATAAGCACATTATAAGACGCTTAGCCCCATGATTTATTAGGGAAATGCAAATGAAGACCACAATTACATATCCGTACACACCCAACCCAATACCTAAAATTTCAAAGAATGACAATTCCAAGTCTGGGCAAGGATGAGCACCAACTGACTCTCATATATCACTAGTTAGAAGGAAAAATGATATAACTACTTTGGAAAACAGTCCAACAGTTTCATATTAAATTAAATACACATGGCCTTTCTCCACGGGCACCTTCACGTTGGCGGCCTTCTGCTACATGCTGGTGCTGCTGCTCACCCCCGTGCTTGTCTTCTTTGCCATCTGGCACATTGTAGCATTTGATGAACTGAACACTGATTACAAGAATCCTACAGACCAGTGTAATACCCTGAATCCTCTTGTACTTCCAGAGTACCTCATCCATGCTTTCTTCTGTGTCATGTTTCTTTGTGCAGCAGAGTGGCATACACTGGGTCTCAATATGCCCCCCTTGGCATATCATATTTGGAGGTGTATGAGTAGACCAGGGATGAGTGGACCAGGACTCTATGACCCTACAGCCATCATGAATGCAGACATTTTAGCATATTGTCAGAAAGAAGGCTGGGGCAAATTAGCTTTTTATCTTCTAGCATTTTTTTACTGCCTATATGGCATGATCTATGTTTTGGTGAGCTCTTAGAACAACACACAGAACTGGTCCAAAGTGCATGCAAAAAGCCACCAAATGAAGGGATTCTATCCAGCAAGATCCCGTTTCCAAGAGTAGCCTATGGAATCTGATCAGTTACTTTAAAAAGATGACTCCTTATTTTTTAAATGCTTCCACATTTTTTGCTTGTGGAAAGATTGTTTTCATATGTTATACTCGGATAAAGAATTTAAAGGGAATTATATAAAAATTAATATAAAATGATGACCTCTGGTGTTGACGAGTTTGAACTTGCACTCCTTAAGGAACAGCCATAATCCCTTGAATGATTGCATTAATTATTGACTATCCTTGGTCCATTGGAAGCTTTTGTTATATACAGGAACTTGTAGGGCTCATTTTGGTTTTATTGAAATGCCATCTAATTATAAATTAGCTGTAGATATCAGATGCTTCTGATGAACTGAAAATATGTATCTGACTTGTGGGAAACTTCATGGGTTTCCTCATTTATCATGTATGTGATTATATATGGACACATTTACAAAATAGGAAGAGTGGGATTTTTTCCCCTTCAACTTGAATATTATCCCTATATATTGCATGAATGAGAGATTTCCCATGTTTCCATCAGAGTAATATACTTGCTTTAATTCTTAAGCATAAGTGAACATGATATAAAAATATATGTTGAATACTTGTGAAGAATGCATTTAAAGCTATTTTAAATGTGTTTTAATTTGTAAGATACCACTTATTAAGAAATTGGCTATTATACTTAACTGTTCTAATCTGGTGGTAAAGGTATTCTTAAGAATTTGCAAGTACTTTAGATTTTCAAAACTGAATGAGAGAGAACACTGTATAACCATCCTGCTATTCCTTTAGTGCAATACAATCAAACTCTGAAATTAAAAAATAAATAAATAAATAGGAGCGCCTTGGTGGCTCAGTCATTAAGCGTCTCCCTTCAGCTCAGGTCATGATCCCAGGGTCCTGGGATCGAGCCCCGCGTCGGACTCCCTGCTCGGCGGGAAGCCTGCTTCTCCCTCTCCCACTCCCCCTGCTCATGTTCCCTCTCTCGCTGTGTCTCTCTGTCAAATAAATAAATGAAATCTTTAAAAATAAATAAATAATACATACATATGTACATACTTACTATATGACCCAGAAATGTCAGTCCTGGGTATTTCTTCTCCCCCTCCCCACAAGAAAACCCATGCATCTATACCAAGACTTGTTATGAATATTTGTACTAGTTTTATTCATAATAGGCAAACACTGGAAATAACCCAAATTCCTCAGATAGTGATGGAGAAGCAAACTGTGCTGTATCTATACAATAGATTACTACTTAGACAGAAAAAAGAATTACTTATATAGGCAGCAGCATGGATGAATCTAAAAAGCATTTCGCATGCTAAATAAAAGGAGGGAGAGGGGTGCCTGGGTGGCTCAGTCGTTGGGTGTCTGCCTTCGGCTCGGGTCATGATCCCGGGGTCCTGGGATTGGGCCCCGCGTGGGGCTCCCTGCTCGGCAAGGGGACTGCTTCTCCCTCTCCCACTCCCCCTGCCTGTGTTCCCTCTCTCACTGTGTCTCTCTCTGTCAAATAAATAAATAAAATCTTAAAAAAAAAAGGGAGAGTAAAAGACCATTTGAGTGAATTCATGTAAAATTCTAAGAAATGATCAAACTATAGTGACAGGAAGTAGATCCTGGGTTGCCAGGACCTGAGACTAGGAAAGAGCTTGACTGTAAGAGGCACAGAGGAATTTGTTGAGGTGATGGAAACGTGTTATACCTGGACTTGGTGGTGGTTCCACATTAGGATACATTCATCAAAACTTATCAAATGATACATGTAAAATGCGTGAACTTTATCACATGTAGATTATACTTTGGTACAGTTTAAAAGAACAAATCTTTAAAAAAAAAAAAGTAGGCATGAGACCCTGGCTATTTCATTTGTTCCTTCTGGCCACGGGGATTGTTTTGTGGACTGTACATTTGATCTGCGACAAATGAATATCAGTCCTTTGCCTTTTATAGTTCTCTTTCCTCGAGTTATTTAACCAGTCAGATGTAAACCTGGAGCTGATTCTCACCCTCTTGCCACCATAACAGTGAGACACCTGGAGAAGGAATCCGTACTCTGCGCTTTCACATTGAAATCCTTGTCATCACCCCTTGTAATCTGACATACGTATCAGCGCTCCGCTTTATAGATAAGAAAACTGAGGGCTTGAAAGTTTCGTTTTCCCAAAGTCACACAACTAGCAAATGGCAAAGCAGTGCCCTGGATCTATGTGATGGCAGATTGCAAGCTCGTAACTATTACTCAAGGGAAAAAAGAACACAACAAAGACCTGTAAGTTTAGATTTTTTCATATGCCATTGAAAAACATGACATTGTGGCAGCAAAGGACAATTCCTATATTCTCAATACATCTGATTAAAAAAGAAAACTGAAATCACATGACACTCTAAACCCATAGTACACATTTATACAAATTGCTATTGTTACTGTTCATATATGCATATTTACTAGGCTTTTAAAAATTATTTAAACTGCATCAATAAGAATACAAATTGAGAAAATAATTTCAATAAGAGTCAAAACAAATCAGGAAAACAAATTCTTTGTTTTAAATAAGAATCTCATATACACAGACAAGCTCACACATGCGTAATCATGTGAGATGCCCTATATGATTTGTGACATGAAAAAATTGGATAAACAAGAACCTCATTAGGTATGTTCAGGGAGAAAAGGACCACTGTATGTTATATTAAACTAGGACACCTGACCGGGTTAGTTTACTGCTACATTTTGAGCGGCATAATCATGTGAATGTCATTGTTATGCAAAAAAATGTTTTAAATTTAGCTGTTACTGTGGCCATTATGCAAATATGATCCTTCTGTGTCTAGCCTCATCTGGTTTGCAAAATGAGATATGCCCAGCCATGTTTCAGAAACTCACTACAATAGGTAAAAACGCAGAATAACTTGAGAGAGGCTAGTTAGCAAAAAATCTAATGACGGAGCCTGAGAAAGCAAAATATGCAATATGTAAATACATTTTCTTTTAGTGTCAAAATTGAAAATAATCACATGCAAGAAAAATACTGCTAACCTAACAGATTACAATATATGGGTTTATATATGGACACATCTGACCTAAAGAAACCAACCTATTTTGTTCCCAAGGCAAAGAGCTTTTGTTCTTTCACATTTAGGACATTAGGACTTTCTATTAGAAATTCCTTATTTCAGACTGTAAAGGAAGATACCCCTACCAAAGTCACTTTGATCAATTCATTTAGAAAAAAAAAGGATCACATTTTACATACTCAAATTGTAAGAACAGCTACCATTTCTGGAGCACTTGGTATGTTCCAGCCATTATTCTAAGCGCTCTATTTACTCAAGCAATCCTCACAACGACCTTATGAGGTACATAGTGTTACTACCCTTATTTTACAGATCAGGAGACTTGAAGCCGGGAGAGGTTAAGTTGTCGAGGATCACACAGTTCTTGGATGCTAGAGGCAGGAGTTGAGCCTAGGCAGCCTGGTTCCAGAGACTGCACACTATACGGACACACTGTGCTGGCCAGTGCTGGTACTATGCCTTTCGGCTATCAGGAATAATGCTGCTATGAACAGGGGGGGAAACATCTTGAATGCTTTTGGACATATACCCAGAAGTGGAATTGATGGATCATATGGTAATTCTATGTTTAATTTCTTTTTTAAAAGGTTTTATTTATTTATTTGACAGAGAGAGACACAGCGGGAGAGGGAACACAAGCAGGGGGAGTGGGAGAGGGAGAAGCAGGCTTCCCGCTGAGAAAGGAGCCTGATCGAGTGGGGCTCGATCCCAGGACCCTGGGATCATGACCTAAGCCGAAGACAGACGCTTAACAACTGAGCCACCCAGGTGCCCCTCTACGTTTAATTTCTTGAAGAGTTCTCATACTGTCTTCCATAGCAGCTGCACCATTTTACAAGAGTTCTAATTTCTCCACATTCTCACCAACACTTGTTATTTTCTGGGTTTCTTTTTTAACATCAGTCATCTTAATGGGTGTGAAATAGGGTATGTGTTTTAAGTTCCTGGAAGGTTCTAGATTCTATATTTTGATTTAATGACATATACTGTAGAGGACTCTATCTTGCTTTGAATGTTTGCTATGACGATGTCCTCTACTCAGAAAAGAGGTCATAAGACACCATTATTTATACCAGATGGCCCCTCGGGTGTGTGATCTCATGCTCTGTATATGTGACCCTGCTCTTCTGGCCCACAGCTGATTAGACCAAAGGATGGCACCTGACCTGGAAGTTGACCAGGTGTTTTGATGCAGAAGAAATTTTCATAAAGGGCATCAAACCATATCTCCTCTCTCAGTTTCTGTCCCACAGTCTATGTCTGTGGTTGTCTCCCTTTACAGGATCAAACTCACAAAGTTTGAGTTCCACAGGTCACTTGGTCTTTAATGGCAGGAGAAGTAGGAGCAGTTGAAACAGAGATGAAGTGTCTGAGACACTATAGTGATGGAACATTTACAGGCACCAGCTGCTGATACTTGCTGAACAACCAGGTCATCAGAGCTACTCTGCTTTCCCTGATGATGTTCTAGCGATTTTATGCACTCTTCCTTATATGCTCCCCGTGAGCACTGACCTTTGGTACGTTGAGCATGCCTCTGTTCTTGACAACCTCAAAATGTCTTGCATGGAGGTTTTAAATAAAGAAATACGCCAATTAATTAAAACCAATTTTTTGAGTTTTATAAGTCATTCTTGATTTCTTAAAGTAACTTTTCAAAACATAACTTTAATGAGATACTTCTGCTTTGCACAACTATGTGCCTGTTTGCTGTTGCCTTAATGTACATCTCAAGATATCCTTTTATGTAACCAGGAAAATTGGAAAGAAGTTATAATGCAAGATAACTGAGAAGAAAATGAGAACAGAATACTTAGCTCTGAATTAGAATTAGCAAAAAGCAAACAGAAAATTTC